TGATTCAGCTTTGTGCTTCACCTGGATTCAAGACTTGGCTCCCTCACTTCTCTGGACAGCCAGCTCAGGCGTGGCCCCCATATGGGTAGTGACGGCCAAACACATTTCAGCACAGTGGCAGTAAATAACCCTAGAATTCCAGGTTGTTAGAGCCCTGGACCCAATTCCTGAGCAGAAGTCAAAAGAGTAAAGTTCTAAATTTGGCCCCTTTCGTGTCATATACTAAATAACTTCCACTTAACCCTGAACAATAATTCTGATGACTGTTGATCAAGAGTCCTCACGTCCCACACAATCTGCTATGGGTGATCTCCTTTAACTCCAAAAACAACATTAAGGGAGACAGGCTATAGTTGCTCCATTTTGTAAACTTTGAAATGGGGGTTTGGAGAGGGTGACGGTTCATTCATTGTCACATAGGTGGCAGTGGCAGTGAGGCCTGGGTCCTCTGAACTCTTATTCAGTGATGAGTTTCTTGCACCACCATGGGCCCTCATCTGTGAATCCTTGATGTCAGGGGTCCCTAGCCCCCAGGCCACAGGCTGGTACTGGTCTGTGACCTGCTAGGAGGGAGGCTGCACAGTAGGAGGTGGGCAGAGGTTCGTCACTGATGCTTCATTTGTATTCACTGCCGCTCCTCATTGCCTGAGCTCCACTTCCTGTTGGATCAGCAGCGGCAGTAGATTCTCATAGGACTTTGAAGCCTACGGTGAACGGCGCATGTGAAGAGATCTAGGTTGCACACTCCTTTGAATCAACCAGAGCATTCTACTTTCACGGAACCAGTCCCTGGTGCCCAAAAGGCTGGGAACGGCTATTCTAAGCTATATTTGAATTACTTATGTGAAGATGACCAGCACACAGATGGAGCTCAGTGTGGAGGCCCTGTATCCTCCAGCAGTACCAAACTGTACCAAACCAAACCAAACCAAACCAAACCAAATCAAACCAAACTAAACCACACCAATCCAAGCCAAGCCAACTCAACCTAACCCAACCCAACCCAAACCAAACCAAGCCAAACCAAACCAAACCAAACTAAACCAAACCAAACCAAACCAACTCAAACTAAGCCAAGCCAACTCAACCTAACCCAAACCAAACCAAATCAAACCAACCAAGCTCAACTGATGTGCTCCAGCATACATTAGGACTAAAGGGGAGAGGTTATTTTTTAATTTTAAATTTTTTTTAGTTTGACCTTATCCTATGGTTCAAGCACTTTTATACCCATTTACTTTTTTTTTTTTTTTTTACTATTTTCTTTTTTGGCACCAGGAATCAAACTCGAGGCCTTGAGCTTGCCAGGCAGGCACTGCTCTGCTGAGCTACATCCCTGGCCCTATATCCATTCACTTTCACAACAAGCTAGGTATTATGATGCTCATTTTATAGATGAGGAAGCGGAGACTCAGGGTGTGAGGAATTTTCCAAAGTTTATAAAGCTGAAAACCTTCATGGTGTATATTTTATGCCCAAACTTAAATACAAGTTATCTAACTGTAAGCCTAGAGCTTTTCTCTGTACTCTGCTGCTTTTTTTTTTTTATTAGCGAGTGTTTTTATAGAGCTCACTCATGCTAATGTTGCATGCCTTCTGACTTGGATTGCTTTTCCCAGGAGAAAGATTGATCTAGGAGGAGAAATTTGACAGTAACCTCTTCTCTTGTCATTTCCTCTCACACTTCCAATGATAAAACCTTCCCCTCCCACTGCTTTCTTCTGATTTTGGCCTGTCTTCCAATCCCAGTGAAACTGCCAAGGAGTAAAGAATCCCCCAAACGAAAGAGCCTGCACATAGAGCTCCCTGCTGTCTCAGCCACCAGCCTATAGGTCCTAGGACAAAACACACAGAAAGATACAAAAATTTGTGTACAGTTCTTTACACAAAGAAGTCAATGTAGACAAAATATATCTATCCAGACTTCAATTTTGTGGAACTGCAAATAATCTCAAAATACGATTTCCAGGATTGCTTATTTTATGGATAAGGAAAATTGAGACCCCGGGATAGCAAGAGACATGCCCAAGATCACATACTAATGAGGGAGGCAGAGTCCAGAATGAATCCAGATCTCTCTCCTGACTCCCAGGCCAACAGTGCTTGTCCACTAAGTAAGTTGCCTCTTTAGCTTTGCCCATGAATGGCTCAACTTATAAGAGATCGTGGCCCTTTTAAGAAGCTAGCTCCGGGTTTGTGTCTCTCTCCAAAGCCCAGAAGCCAGGACCTCTTCGTTGGCCTCAGCTTTGATCAGCTCATGTCCTCATCTAAAGAACAGGAAGTGGCTTCAATTTTAGCGCTGAAAGCACATTCTGGGGTGGGAAAGGGGGATTTGGGGAAGAGAGTTCCTGTGAGTGATGGTAAACAGCGATCAGCAGATACTTTACTCTGGCTTAAAGAAGGGGAAGCTATAAAATCAGACACTGAAGGGGAAGATGAAGGTTGATCTTGAGTCTTAACCAGAACATGACCTCAGCAAGAGCCTCCCCAAGCCCTGTGGCAGGGAGTGGGGAGGGTTCTGCTCTGCTCATTCCCTTCTCTGTTCTGATAATGCTCGATGCTGAGGTGGGTGCCGAGGCAGGAGCACCAGGGTGGGAAAATTCGGAGGAATTTTATACAACCTCAGCGCTCCCTCCACCGTCTGCTAGTACTCATAACTTCCCCTGCCAAGGGAGGAAGGAGGAACACATTATTCAGTTTAATAATTTATACAAATTGAAAAGCTTACTGTACAAAATAAAGGGGCCCTAGGAGGACAACGGAGAAATAAAAATTCCTACATCCTCTTCTAAAGACGGAGGTGTGGGGATGATGTTTCTTGATGACCTCACCCAGGAATAAAACAACTTGACTTTCTAAAACATGGATATGAGACAAGCAAGTCACTCTGATGATGAACTAAGCTTTGTCTCTTTCTACTGGTGGGATCACATCCGACCTTAGCAGTTGTAGCCTGGGACATCCAAGAACACAGAGCGAGATCCACGCAATGCTAGGAAGAGGCCGTGGGCATTTATTTGTCTGTATCAGTGGTTCTCAAACCTAGCCCCCCAGCAGAGTCATGTGGTGAACACATTACAAACTGAAATTTCTAGGAAGCAACTCAGAGGTTGCTTAAATAGATCAGATAGGGCCTGGGAATCTTCATTTTCAATGAGCAGGCTTGATTTCAAAACCAATGATCCAGTTCAACCCCATCCATCTATCAAAGTTTTTACACAAGATTCTGGTTATATAGCAAAGAAAACTGAAGTGTCACACACAAAAAAATAGGTTGGTAGCAACATTTAGACTAGAACTCAGTTCCCCGGCTGTGAGTACAGGGTCTTAGACAATGGCCTTTCACATACTTTTGTCCTCCAGCTCCCCACTGGGCCACTGAGAACCCATGAAGATCAAACAGTCCACAGAGGAACCAGCTGCCAGCTGTGACTGGGTCCCCATTCCTGTCACTGTGGAAGTGGATAAGTGGCTGTGGTGAAGATTGTTTTCAGGGCACTCACAGAAAGCTATCTTCTGTATTCCGCTGGGGTCCAAGTGGAGGGACCTGCATAGGGCCTCTAAGGCATACTACTCTGTCACTGCAGACTGTAAGAACAATGGGTTTATAGAAGCAGCCTGCTGTGTACAGGCACCAGAGAGAGACAGGCAGAGCAAGTGAAAGCAACAGTCACAAAAGGTGAGGTCCGGCCAGCATATTGGTGCACGCCTGCTATCCCAGCACTCTGGAGCCTGCAGCAGGAGGATCCCAAGTTTGAGCTCAGTCTGTGCAACTTAGTGACATAATGAGACCCTGTCTCTAAATGAATGAAAAATAAGAAAGGGTTGAGGATGTAGCTCAGTGCAAGGTCCTGAGTTTAATCCCTAGTAGTGGGACGCCAGACCACATGGGCTCCAGGTCACACACTAAGACCCTTGGCTTTTGCTCTCAGCCACTGAGGGATTTTCAGCAGAGGAGCAGCATAATCGGACGTATTTTCACAGGGGTCTCTGATGCAGTGGTGAGAACAGACTGCACTTAGCACGTGTGGAAGTAGGGAATTCAGAGAGGAGGGTCTACAGTAATCCAGGGAACGGAAGATGGCATCTCAGAGCAAGATGGTAGGAAAGTGGATGGTGCGAGGTTGTTGGACCCCGGATATTTTTAAAAAGTAGAGTTGAGAGATTTTCTCACAGACTGGATGTGAGATGGGAGATAAAAAGAGGAGCTGTGGATGGTGCCAGTGCTTTGATTTGGGTACCAGCAAGGCCGTAGTTGCCGTTAACTGGAGCAGACAAGGCTTGGGGTGGGGACAGCGGGCATTTACTTGTGGACATGCAGAGCTTGTGGAGTCCGTGAGTCACAGTGGAGGAATTCTGCACTGGCCGCTGGGCACCCAAGCATGGGGCTCAGGGAGGATGGAGAGAGGTCTGGCGGCATCACAGGCACGCACGTGGTATTTAAAGTCTCAGGACTGGATGATGTCATTGAGGGAGAAAGCCCAGGAAGGAAAGAGGGTCAAGGACCCTCCATGACGATCCTCTGACATCAAGAGGACACAAAGGAAAGAGATTCGAAAGTGACCAGTGAGGCCGGAGGAAATCAAATAGAGTCCAGAAAGACAAAGTATTTCCAGGAAGAGGGAGTGGCCATCAGGGCCCAGCGCCCCTGCAGGTGGAGTGAGACTAAAGCTGAGAAAAGACTACTAGATGTAGACACTGATGACCCTGGTCAGTGTGGCAGGAGCAGCATTCGACACACCTAACCTTACGGAATCTCACAGTTCGACTAGGGCTGTCTTTATCCCTTTTTGTGAATCTTGTCCTCTCACTTAGCTTGCAAACTTTTCAAGAGCAGGGGAGATGAGTCAGTGCAGCATCCTCAGAGCACCAGATCCCTCCCAGGCTAGCGGCCTTCACTGAGCCCGCTGAGGTCCTGACACAGTTTGCTAGCACTCCCCTAACTCTAACCTCTTTACTGGGGCACTGGTCTAGACCGACCAGCCTCATGTCCGGCTTACCTTGGACGCAGAATTTCAGTTCCTTCGGATCAGTGATGCTCTTCCTGCTTTCCCGGATCACAGCCCTGTTCTTCTTGGTTTCTCCCCAGAGATTGGTGCCTCCGTACATGCTGGGAATGTTGAGGATGGCAATGCCCTCCAGGAAGATGTTGCTCAGGTCTACCTCAACTCCATCACACTGCGGAACACAGAGCAAAGGCCACCTGTTAGTGTCCTCAGTGGATTGTAACCCAAGGTGCCACGTGCAGGTCTGTGTGTGTGCGTTTGTGTGTGTGTGTGTGTATGAGAGAGAGAGAGAGAGAGGAGGGGGGATTGGGGCTCTCTTCAAGGATGTGACAGGTCCTTAGTCACCAGAAATTGACTCCTTGGGCAAAATCAGAAATCTACTCCTTGGGCAAAGTTGCTCAGGCCCAATGCTTTAATCCTTGTAGTGAGATGAGGCGATCTAGCCCTGGTGAGCTCTGGGGAAGATGACACAAGACTTCTATAGGCCTAGAAATGTTCTAGGGATGGATCCCCAGTCAGGTGCCAAACTTTTCTCCACTTCACGCTCATAATCATCAATCCTGTCCCTTCCTAACCAACGTGAAGATTTACAGTGACACTGAATCCAGAACCTAACACATAGTAGATTCTCAACAAGTGACTGGCACATGTCATTTAATTCCCTCTTATTTCATCCCTCCTGTGAAAAGTACAAGATTTTAAGATTTGGAAAGCTTTCCGGATTTGCCTGTCTCCTATGTCTGTACTGTAAGTGCAAGGCTGGCATATGTGCTTGCTGATGTAGCAGAATTTCTTTCTCATCCTCTACCACCCACATCCCCCACCAGGTACAGCAGGCCAGAAGGCTCAAATCTGCATGGCTCGCACAGCTGTAAAGCAGCCCACTTTGGCACTAAGCTTACCAACACAGCAAGAAAATTTTCAGCTCTGATTTTCCCTCCTCAGGTCTACAAATCATATATTTCATTTACAGAAGAACAAACCGGACCCAGAGACATGAGCTGTGTTATCCAAGATGACACAGAAGATAAGTACTGAGCAAGGATTCAAACTGAGGGAATCTGACGACAGTGTCCAGACTCTTTATCTTGCTTATTGTGAGAAAGGAAAAATCAAAAGCATACAGTAAAAGTCTTCTGTCCATGAGGTTCCCTACTTCTATGGTTTGATTGTTTCTGCCAAAACTCCTGATGAGAGCTCACTGCCTTTGTAATAGTATGAAGAGGTAGCACAGTTGGAAGGTTATTAGTGTGTGGGAGGACATGATTACATCAATAGCTTTACAAGAAGAGGAAGAGAGTGGTGGTATATGTCTGTAATCCTGGCTACTTGGGAGGCTGAGGCAGGCGGATCACACATTTGTCTTTTTGAGACAGGCTGTTGCTGTGCAGTTCTGGCTGGCCTTGAGCTCACTTTGTACCCCAGGCTGGTCTTGAACTTGCAAAGATCCTCCTGCCTCAGCCTTCTGAGTGCTGGGATTACAGGCATGTGCTACCATGCCCGGCTTCAGGATCACACATTTGAAGCCAGCTTGGGCAACTGATGGGCAACTCTATCTCAAAATAAAAAATCAAAAGGGCTAGGGATATAGTAACAGAAGGCTTTCCTCCTGCTTGGAGAAGGCCCTGGGTTCAATCCACGATATTTGAAAAAGAAAAAAAGGAAGCGAGACCTATGTGTTGCCTTCGGACTCTGCAGAATGTTCCCATTAGCAAGAAGGCCCTCTTGAGTTGCAGCTCCTTCCCTCCACCCTGGACCTTCAGAACTGTGAGTGGAATAACCTCTAGTCTTTTAAAATTACCCAGTCTGCACTATTCAGCCATAGCAACAGAAAATGGGCTAAAATTCCTATACACTCACTTTCAGGAGACGTCAACGGAGTAGGGATGGGAAGGCGGGGCTTGTTTCCCTTCGCACTGTCTTATCTCCTGATTTCTTTCCAGTTCTTAATGGATCTATGTCATCATCTCTCTGACTTATTTCCCAACTACAGAACAAGCTGCTCTCCTAACTGGGAACTTATTTCTTCACTGAGAAGTTTGGATAATGTGAAAGGTCTCTTTAGGCAGCTCCGCATTCTCTCTTCTTGCTCCCATGCAGGGGTCCTCTTCTCCCTTCTGAAGGCAGAAGGACCCTCCTCTCTCCTCCAAGGAGCCAGCCCACCAGGCGCAGGATGGTGGCGGCAGCCATCACTGAGCCTATATGCAAGGGCACCGCCACCTGCCACATTAGCTTTTCTGAACACCTCCTGGATTACCTTAGTGACTTTGCTATCGGTTACTATGACCACACTCTCTTTACATTTGGGGAAACGGAGGCACAAAGGAGGCTAACTTGCTCAGTGTCACACAACTGACACATGGAGACACACTGACTTGACAGCAGGCAGTCAAAGCCTAAGTCTTGATCACTCCTTTATTTCTCTTTTGACTCACAATTCTCCTAACCTTCTCCTGTGCGACCTGGTTTCCAGACGTTTGCTCCCTGAGCTGTCTTGATCTGCACACACTCCAGTTTGTTAGCTGCCACGCCAGCCATGACAGCAACACCAAGGACAGGATCTGACAGGACAGGTGGTAATGACACCAGCACTTCCTGGGCTGAAATTCTATGACACTATCATGCCCCAGAAATGAGATAACGTGCAAAGCCCGTGGAAGAGCTCAACACATGCCATCTGCTACCATTATCCTTACTGTTAAATATAAAAGACCTGTGAGCCTGCTCAGTCAGCTCTTCCCTATCCTGAACTTGTGAAGGTTTTTTTTTTTATTTAGACTTTGGGTTTTATATTAATATAAATTAATTTCATCTGGCTTTCAATCCAAGCCTCCTCTGGCCCAATCAGATCCTCATTCTTTGACCCCTTGTCATAGCTCCCCTATTGTTTGGGGTTGAAGTATCTGATACATGTATGCAAAGGGCAAAGGCAGGGACTAGTACCTCTCCTTGGTCATTGTAACATAGCATCCATGGTACATTAACAGCCCTCAGGTGTGACAGTTATATTGGGGCTGCATCTTTAGGAGTGTACTGTCATCAACCTACCTTTCACTAAAAGGTTGAATCACAGAACTCAGGAGATAAGAGAGACCTCAGTGAATATGCCTCATTGCTATAGTTTAGATGGAAAATGTCTCCCAAAAGTCTCATGTTTTCAGAGGTGGGGCTTTGGAAGTTGACTGGATCTTGAAGACACTAACCTCATTAATGGAGCAATCCACTGAGTGTTCATAGCTGAATGAGCTCTTGGGATGGGGTTGTTGGAAGTACATCACTGGTGGTGCCTTTGGAAGGTCTACCTGTTCTCCGGTCCTTCCCCTGCTCTCTGCTTCTTGGCAGCAGAAATGAGCAGCTTTTGTCTGCCACACTCTTCTACCATGTTTCTGCCCTAAAGCCAGCTAACCTTGGACTGAACCCTCTGAAACTGTAAGCCAAAACAACCTTTTCCTCCTTTAAATTGTAAATTTTGTCCCAGCATCAGAAAAGTGACTAACATATCTCTCTTTCATAAAGGAGGCCTACTGACATTAAAAACTTCTCTGTGATCATCCAATTTATTAACTATGGATTAAAATCTAGGTCTCTAGATCTCTATTTTATGCTCTTTTTACTAAAACATAAGATGCTGTGTGAAGATCAAATAAGAGCATTTTCTAAATGACTCCCCTACAATCTCCATCAAGAAAGGAATAAAAGAATTCATATTAAGGCACTAATATCAGTCTGTAAATCAAGGATTCTTCAATCTATCCAAGGACTGAAGCATATCAATATGTGATTTCCAGAACATATCTTTTTCCTATTTTTTGAAAACTGGGATGACATTTGTCCATCTGTTTCTCATTGGACAGAACCAGACCTCTTTTCTGGGTTTGTTAGTGTAGCCCCTGACCGACACCTAAAGGTTTATCCAGCAACTTGAATTCATGTGCCTGTATATTTTCCAAGACCAATAATTTCTCTTTTGCTCCGCCTTGGGCATGGTAGCCACCATTAGCTTCTGTTCTTCCATGTTTAGTTTAGGGTTACCACTCTCTTTCTCTGGGAAAGATGAAACCTCTGCTAGAGTAGCAGACTGGAGCTATGCTGTCCACCATGGTCTGCTCTGGCTTCAGAAGTCACACTCACAGGTCTGCTTTGCTTTTGTGCAGTCATAGTTGGCTTCACATTTACACTTTTGCCTTTGCATTTATGGGTGCAGTTTCTATAAAGTATGGGCTCAACCAGGGCTCCCTGTTGTGGTCGCAGTGACTGAAACATGAAAAGCAAACTCCTTTCCCCTTTCTTCTTGCTGGGATTAATGACATGTTAGAAATTTGTTTTGGAATATCTTCTACCCTATCATCCTTCATACACATAATTCTTTTCTCTGGTACCGGGAACCGAACTCACGACCTTGAGCTTGCCAGACAGACGCTTTGCCGCTGAGCTAAATCCCCAGCCCCCATACACATAATTCTTAATTAGGAATTTGGAATAGAGTTCACCAAGTCATGCTTTGCTTCTCCCACACCCTGAAATGAGCTTCCTTCAACTCTGTGCCCAACGTTGTTCCCTCTTTCTTATCTCCTGCTAGGCCAGGTCGTCATGTCACTTGGTTGAGCTGATTAGAGTTAGTTACATTGATATCGCCTCCATTTTTTCACTGTTGGTAGAAACAGCCTTCTCTTTTCTGAGAAACAGTAATACTTACAGCTCATGTGTGGTGAGTACTTCCTTGGGCACTGACTGGACTGGCCCTGCGCCTTTATTACCTCTCAAGATCCTCATGATGTGGGAGGCACCATTGCTACCTTCAACAGACGGGTCTCACCGGGGGAAGGTGTTTGCTCAAGGCTACAGAGACTAGACACTTTATGTGGATGCTAGACTTCCAGCAAAATTAAACTTGTCATAATAATTGAAATCTCTCAGTACTACTCCATCCCGTATTGTCAGCAGTGCATTGATGTTGGGTATTAGTATTATTATTATACCTTGACTTGGTGCCAGTATTTTTTTAAAGTATATTCTAGCAACAACCCTTGGCAAACAGTAACCCACAAAGTCACCCGTCTTCCCTGATGGCAGTTTTACGTGCACCGCTGTGCGCTTAAAGTGTCTGCTTCCTCCGTGACCAGTCTGAAGTGCTAGCTATTAACTTGGTAAACTGTTAACCTTTCCCTGGGA